GAACTACAGGCACGTGCTACCACGCCTGGCTCATTTTTGATTTATTGTAGAGATGAGGTCGTGCCAAGTTGCCCAGGCGGGTCTCAAACCCGTGAGCTCAGGCGGTCCACTCACCTCAGCCTCCCAAGGCGCGGGATGACAGGCTGAGCCACCGAACCCGGCTGAGACCCTATCTTAAAGTAAATAAATAAATAATAACTTAAAAAAGGAATTGTGTTGTCACACATCTTTGCTAATAGCATTCCACTGTAGAAATGTATTTGATAGGGTTAGGCGTGACGGCTCATGCCTGTAATCCCAGCACTTTGGGAAGCCGAAGAGGAGGGAGAATTGCTTCAGTTCAGGAGTTTGAGATCAGCCTGGGCAGCTTGGTGAGACCTCATCTCTACAATAAATTTTTAAAAATTAGCTGGACATGGTGGTGCATGCCCGTCGTTCCAGCTACTTGGGAGGCTGAGGTGGAAGGATCACCTGAGTCCAGTAAGTCAAGGCTGTGGTGACTGTAAACGGGCCACTGTACTTCAACCTGGGCGACAGAGTAAGGCTTCCAATAAAAAAAAAAATTTAGCTGAGCGTGTGACATGTGCCTGTAGTCCCAGCTACTCAGGAGGCTGAGGCAGGAGGATCGCCTGAGCTCAGGGGGTTGAGGCTGTGTTGAGTCTTGTCATGCCACTGCAGTCTATCTAACCTGGGCAACAGAGTGAGACTCTGACTCAAAAAAAGAGAAAGAAATAAAGAAAGAAATGTATTTGGCCAACACCCACTATTACTTATTTTTTTTTTTCCATTTTAGACTCTTCTTTTTTTTTAATTTTCCATTTGGAGTGGAGTTTGTCCCCTAGGCTGGAGCTCTTGGCTACTGTAGCCTCAACCTACTGAATTCAAGTGATCCTTCCACATCAGCCTTCCAAGTAGCTGGAACCACAGGTGTGCACTATCATACCTGGCTAACTTTTTGATTGATTGCAGAGACGAGATCTTGCCAAGTTGCCAGCCTGGTCTTGGACCCCTAGGCCCTGGCAGTCTTTTCACTCCACCTCCCAAAGTATTGGGATTAAATTTGTAAGCCGCTGCACCCTGAGATAAAAGTTTATTTTTTTAAACTGGGTT